TGTGTTTGTTTCAGAAAAATTCTGAGTAGCTAAAAGAGTCGGAATGGACGTTAGGCCTGAATGTCGGTGCAGGACATCCACTTCATGCTGGATATGAAATATAAGCAGAAATGCCAGCTGCTTTTTTTGAGGGCTACCTGAAACGATGCTCCCAGACCCGCAGTGAGGTATCGGTATGGGGCTCAGTGTTCAAACTGATGTTCATGTCTTCCCGCTGGGAGGGCAGGTAGGCTCCCTTCCCCCACCTCTCTGGGGTCAGCGAATGGCTGTGTTTTGGAGGATTTGGGCGCCAGTGTCTCAAGACCTGGCACCCAAAGGTTCACGTTCAGGTTTTTTGGTATCGTTCCCCGCAAGAGGTGGACTTTCTGCAGGCTCTTGGGCCTCTCTCCTGCCCTCCCTCATGCCCATAAGGAAGACGCTAGGTGCAACAACAGCTCAAGCCCATAGAAAGGGATTTATTACCCTCCCCAGCGTACCAGTTCCCCAGTTCGCTCTTTAAAGAGAAGTGCTTGAAGTTGGAGCCACTTTCTGCTCCTGTGAGCAAGAGCGTCTTGCCGGCTCCCCCCGCTCGGATCTACACAAGCCAATTCAGAGAAGAGCACCTTCTCTTTCAAGAAGGCGTAAGACGCTTTGACTTAAAACCCCCCAAATTGGCAGGGACGGTCCCTCCGCTGCGTTTCCCACAGCTTGCTGGGCTTCGAGGTGCTTCTTTCCACTATTAGGCTGAATGTCCCCCCCGAGGATGCGCAAGGCTGCCTGTGCAATACCACGTGGGAGGAAAAAGGTCCTGCAAGAAAGCCACATCCCTGGCTGGCCGCCGTTTGCAAACTCACTCCCACCCATAGCCTTTTTAAGCGCTGTCGCCGCCAGAGCTTGGTTTATGGACAAATTCCTGGAGGAAGCGGTTGTAAAGATATGATTTATTCCTCCAACAGGAAAATTTATGTGCCTCTTAACCCCTTTCCCCCCCCCCCCCCCAAAAAAAAAAAAAAATCCAACTGCAGGTACCTGCTGTGTGAGTTTATTCATTAAGCTCAGCAAATTTTTGTCTGTAATGCAGCTGATTTCTTTGAAATACTGTAACAACCCTTCTCGCATTTTCTCTGGAGATCTCTGCAGCGCCAAGGTGCTAGCTTGAGGCTCTCTCCCAGCCTGGTTTTTATGCCGATAGCCATTCGAGCGTGACAACGTTCATGAGCTGTGGCCGTAAAGCAGCCATTTTGCAAACACTGGTGTCTTCTCCTCCCAATCCTCCCCTTGGCGAGTGTTTTTAACCCCTTTTTAGGAATGCTTTAGTCTCAACTTTCTTACTGTTGGGATGGCAGCGTGGTCTTCTTGTCGTACTTCTCTGCAGCCTCTTTGGTGTTGAGGGATGCAAAATTGGGCGCGGATATGAAGCGGGTAGTGAGAAGAAAGCACTTTTTTTTTTGTATTATTATTTGTTTTGTGTCCTGTTTGGGATCGCCGATATTGAACTGCTTTTGTAAAATCTGCTTTCTGGGACTCAGACAATTTCAAAGACAGTCGTGCTGTGGCTGTGAGTACAAACCAGGATAAACGTTCTTCACTCTGGGTGTCTACATTGAAGGTCTAACATCCATATTTAGGCTCCCAAGTAAAAACAGCTCTGTTTTGAGAGGTGTTGAATGTCTTCAGCTCTTCCTGGAATCCAGAAGATCTCCTAGATCCTTCGGTGCAAAACCCCGCTGGGGTCAACAGCGAAGTTCCCACTGCCTTCAGTAGCATTTAAATACCTCCCAAGCACAGGGTTAGGAGGCTAACTATGGTCAGCTATTTTTCTAAGAGGCCGGTAATACGCAGAACAATACCAAAATGCCTCTTGGTGTTTATTTTAGCTTTGTGCAAAGCTCTTCCATGTATCTACCCCTTCCCTATAAAGAGCTGCAGGAATAAATCCTGCAGCCTGAGTTGCCATCATAATCTATTTATGGGTCAACTTTTTAGTCTTGGTTGCAAGCAACCCCACGGCAA